ATTTCAAGGGGGGTGACTGTTACATAAAAGAAGTGGCATTACATATGGCAGCTCTTTTAGGTTTTACCTTATCTTATTCTTAATATTTTTAAACTCGAAAGGGGGTGGCTAACCACTCAATGCAATCTACTTTACTCTTTAGATGATAGGGATGAAAGAACGGAAGAAAAAACTTTACTTATAAATCACATTAGGCTTTTAATTGTTATATCTGGCATCCAAGATTAATGATTCCAAAGTTTTGAAAAATATATGAATGAACTGGTTTTTATATCAAATGATAAGATCTGTTTTTTGATTTTGTTTTCAACATATTTCTGGATATGAGCAGTCAATGAGCTCAGTCTGTGCAACAGCTGGCTTCAGTATTGGTGAATTTGCAGCCTTAGTATTCGCAAAAGCAATTTCACTGGAAGATGGTAAGTTTTGTCTCATATCTCTTATAAGTGGTTTGTACATTAGCCTTCTACACAGGTGCTCTTATTGTTTAGAAAAACTATAACAGACTGTCAATGCGCTATTAGAGTGTATAACAGGCTTCCATAAGTAAAGGGGGCTTATATCCAGGGTTTTAAAACTGGGAGAAAATTTGTCAGCATATGGGGGGCTTATAATTGGGGGAAGGACTGTCTTATGGAGAAGCCTACATATACCCAAGATGAGAGGGCTTGGTGGCGCAGTGGTTAGTGCTCCTGGCTTTCACTTGCAGAGGTCAGATGACCACATTCAATGGCAGTCCTGTCTCCAATTTGGGGATGAAAATGAAGGAGGCAACAAACCCTGGCAGTAAAAAATTAATAAATAATAAATAAAAAGAAAGAAAGAAAGAATTAAATAAATAAATGAATAAATAAATAAAACAAAACAAAAAACATAAATCACTCTCAGTGCCAGCAATGAGGTCAGCTTGGTGTAGTGTTCCAAAAAGTTAACTGGTGAATGAGACGTCCTCACATTACAAACATTAATAATCACAGAGATATTAATTATAACCAAAGCTAGTATACCAATGATGAAACATTACCAGTTTCTGGATGGGAAATGATAAAAAAACGAGATTCTATAGGATTATTAGATATGGTAGTCATGTTGTTCTTTTACAGCTCTTAGGGTCATACATATCAGAGCTAAAGCTATGCAAATTGCATCAGAAAGGCACCCAAGTGGCATGATAACAGTTAAAGGACTGCAAGACAAGGCTATTAAAGATCTTTGTCAGGCAGCCAAGACCCTAGCACATTCTCAAGATCCACACCAAGCACCAATGGCAATGGTTGCTAATTTTTTGTATCCAAAAGGCCACGTTATTGCTGGTACAATGGATGTTATAGAATATATTCTACAGTATGGGAAAATAAAAGTAAGAAGAAACAGCTCAACTGCTTGCTAAATTAGCTAGAATTGAAATATCATCCTTGTCTTACAAGGGTAGCACTTCATTGGTAGCACTTGGTAGTATCATCTTGTACGGGAATTGTCAGACAAATTCTATTCAAATTCTAATTTTAATCATTTGGCCCCAAGGGTGCCCTGTTCGAATCTCCTGAAATTTTATTTATTTTATGTAAGTGAGGAGAACCAAAGTCCCACTTGGCTTTTTGGAAGCTGATGACATACCTGGTTAACCCATACACCACGATACTACCCACTTCCTTTGGCCCCCATTTCAGGATCACATTTGAATAGTCAATTTTTGCAGAGGGATGAAAAATGGAGAACCTGGAAAAAACCTCCAAGCACAGGAGCAACTAATAAAGTTCAATTTTTTCTCATACGCGTTGCCTCTTAGATTTTATTTTGAAGGAAAAATAGCCCACTTCCAAAATATGCTTCACTTGTCACACGCAAACATTTCAATAATTTGAGGCTTCGAGCATAATGCTCAGTGATTTTGCACATTTGTATTTTGAACGAGCTTAATCAGCTCCTGGACGATACGTGATGAAATTAACGATTGATTGATTGATCGAGGAGGAATGTATTTAATCTAGCACATATCCTGGTATTGAAATCTTTTTGCTTGATAAGCAAAGCATATCTTGGAAGTGGGCTATTATCTTACTTGTTTTGGTAATTTTCAGCATGGGGCCAAAGATGTCAAACAGCTTCCAGTCAGTGGAGCTTTCCACACTTCCCTCATGGCTTCAGCCCAGCCTATCTTAAAAGACACCCTCAATGGTACTGCAATCTCTATCCCACAAATACCAGTATATTCTAATGTGACTGGGAAACCTTTCAGCTCAGTTGAAGAAATTAAAATGTAAGTAGAGATAAAAGATCCTTTGTGTCTACTCAAATAAAATGTTGTTGGTACACTTCAGCGATGAGTTTCCTATGACTTGGAAGATGGAAGATGAGTAATACTTTCTGCATGGTCAACATGCGTTTCTCAACACCAAGTAAATTACATTTTTTCTGTTATTGATAGGTCATGCTACCCTTAAAAGTTTATTCAAAAGTGCTAAAACAAACCCATATCAAAGTAACCTTACATGGTCCTTGCTAGTCCTCCGAGGGAGTATGATAGACAATATATTTCCTCGAGTGTTAAAAAGATAGATAGTCCCCTTTGCCGTCTTAAAAGGTAGCCTGTGCATCGAAGCAAGAGCAGGGTTACCTTGCAATGATGACCTTGGACTATTATGGTTTTTTTAATTAAAGGTACAACTCAGCCATTCTTGTTTCGATGCAACAAGGGTTATTTTCAAGATGGTACAGGGATCTTTGAACAGGACTATTCTACATTAATCTTGGATCTCTGGTTATCCTCTCTCTCCTAAACCCAAAAAGCTATATCCTAATCTTCAAGGTACCCATTCTCTGACTTTTCAGGGTTCAGTAATATTAATTTTGTTTGTTTGTTTGTTTTATAAGTATTCTGCCATTGATTTTCATGGTTATGTAATAAATATCCTTCACTTTTCAACAGGTTATTGGTTGAACAGGTTGTTCAGCCAGTTCAATGGCAGACACTCGTCCAAAATATAATAGCTGATCAGAAGCCAAGCATGTTTTACGAAGTAGGGCCAGGAAGACAGCTAAATGCCATGCTGTACCACATTGATTCCAAATACAAACGCCATTGTAAGAATATATCCGTATAGTATAGACAAGATACTATAAAATTCTGGTAATAAGTCCACTCACTAGTTTACTAAAACAAAATTTAATATCCTTAGAGTCATAAGCCCTTTTCTCCTGGTTATAAGCATTATGGAGTTTATGACATAAGAGTTATTGGAGTTGGGAAAACAAGAGAAAGAAATAATGTCCTCTTCATTCCAAACTCTTTTTCCTTCCGGATATAAAGCCTCCCACCTCCAGATAAAAACTACCCCCCTGGTCATACATAAGCCAAAAAAAAAACTTATAAATGAGCATTTGTAAGCTTAGGACTTAAACCAGGATTTCATGGTGGCGGATAAGAGTATTTTCAATTTTTACATTCTGATTTGATTTGCTACTATAGCCTACTAACAGAGCTATTAGAGCAGATGCAATTAAACCTTGAAATAAAATCAAACTAAATACTAACTAATAGTATCTATTTAGTGACTAATAGTTGCYATCACTCAACCAGAACATTCATCATACGAAGACAAATACACAAGAGATCATTTGTGTCTTTTGTTTAAATAAATGTTCTGGTTGTGTAATAGATACTATTAGTTAGTATTTAGTTTGATTTTATTTCACAGTTTAATTACATCCGCTCTAGTATCAGTATAAACAAACTGCTGGACCCGAACAGTGAAGGAAAGGGGATGTATCAAAAGCAGCTAATTCTCATTTTGCTGGGTTTCTAAGGTTTCCATTACTGTCTATAGTCTTTCTAGTTTGTTTATACTAAATCACAACTCTGTTCTTGTGGGAAAATGACCTCTTTGGCTTGGGCCTCGACATGTGTTCCTTTTCAGATCATGTGTCCTCCTTTAGAGTATCATTTCTTAGTGCTTAAGAAGATACATAAACATGGAATCTTATTCTAAAGAGTAGCTGAATTGTTCATGGAATGAAATGGGATAATACTATGCCCAAGTTAAAGCAGTCTATTCACACAACGCAGCAAAGAATCCCATCGGGCAAAAATCACACCACAGGAAACCCACTTTATATATCACCTACTCCAATTTATGTAGCGATCAAATCATTTATAGAATATTCCAGTTTTGAGTTCTCTTTGCTAAGCCTTAGTCTTGGTTGTGTGTTATGATATTCAGCTATTCAACCAAAACTCGTGGCATTTTAATCAACTCGTATTTTTTCGTAGTACGTACATCCCTTACTATAGAATGGACCTTAATAAGAACACATTTGTGCATGATCGAGGCTAAGACTGAGCAAAGGCGAACTTGAAATGGGATTATTCTTTGTTTTTTTAAAGATCTTAGCAAAAACTTAAACGCTGGAGGCGTAAAATCAAATTGTTAAATCTGGAAAATTTACAGTTTGCTATTCAAATTTATTCAAACACAACAGACAAAATACGTCTCGTAGAAACCTAAATTCAAATTGTTTAACTAAGCATTTCCACCCTTGACCCTTTCTTTCTCTTAATAATTTGTTTAGTCTAATAATACCAATCTAAATTTGTGGCAGTTTTAGCAACACTGGAAATAGGAATAGAGCGGATGCAATTAAACTGTGAAATAAAATCAAACTAAATACTAACTAATAGTATCTATTTAGTGACTAATAGTCACTATTACTCAACCAGAACATTTATTAAACAAAAGACACAAATGGTCTCTTGTGTATTTGTCTTCGTATGATGAATGTTCTGGTCGAGTAATAGCAACTATTAGTCACTAAATAGATACTATTAGTTAGTATAGGGCAATTTCGTACGTGATTTTTGGCAAAATGTGATAAAATMTGAATGTTTTGTGCAAAACAGGATGTTCAAAGTTTAAATTGTTTTACTGACATACATAAGTAATTTCAGGAAATATAATTTAAATATCAATTGAAAGAGAAAGAGAAAGTGAATTTATTTTTATCAATATTAAAAGAAATTCATTTTCCCCCTAAAGACTCAAGCTCTGCCAAGCCGTTCTTCTCTCATAATTTAGATGTACAGAAACAAGGAATGCTTTTCAAACCCTTCCTAATTTCCCTACAAATTTGATAAATAAAAAACTCGGTAAAAAAATAGAGCAAATGTTATAATGGGGCTAAATGTAATTTAGGCAAAGTTAAAACCACAACTAAGCCTGCTAGCCTAAGCACCGTTGGCCAGCGGACCATCCATGCTACGCATGC